CCAGAGTTTGGTTTGGGAGTTGTGGCACCAGTCTACTATACGTGTCAGGTGGGCCGCCACATAGTACTGTCGTACATCTGGCAGTAACATCCCGCCCTGTTGTTTGGGTCTACGCAGGATATCGTAGCTGAGCCTGGCTGGTCTCTGTGACCAGACAAACCCCGTGAAAAGCTTTCAAATTTTACGGAAAAAAGATGTGGGGATGAGAATCGGCAGGGCTTGAAGGTGGTAGAGTAGTCTAGGAAGGATAGACTGCTTTAGTATGTAACATCTTCCCATCCACGAGAAGGTATTTTTGGTCCACGCCTCAAGGTCTGCAGCTATGCGCTGCAGAAGCGAAAGGAAATTCAACGTGAATGTTTGGGATATATCTTTGGGTAGAAGTATACCCCAGATATTTAATCGCGGTCGGTGCCCATTTAAAGGGAAAGTTGTGGAGAACTCTCTGGGAGGCATGGTCCCACAAGGGATACATGGAGTGCCTCAGATTTATAGGAGTTTATTCTAAAATTTGAGAGGTCTCCATAAATACCAAACTCCTGGAGAAGGGCAGGATTAGAGATATCTGGGGAGGACAAGAAAAAAAGGAGGTCATCCGGGAAGGCTGCGATTTTGTGATGGTTAGTCCCCTCCATCACACCTCGGATATCTGGGTTAGCTCGGACAGTACGTAGGAAAGGCTCCAGGGACAATACAAAAAGGACTGTCTCATGTTTATTTTCTTTTGTGTTTTTGTTATTGTCTGTTATTCTGGTTATCCATTTGGCTGTGCCAAGGCTTGCTTTGTTATAAAAATTTGAACAAAAACTTCAATAAAAACCTATTGAATTAAAAAAGGACTGGGGAAAGGGGGCAACCCTGGCGTGTGTCATTACATATGGGGAATGAAGTGGAAAGAGCGCCGTTGACCCGTACTCGGGCAGCCGGATGGGAGTAAAGGGAGTTAAAAATCCAAGAGCGCATACAGGGTCCCACTCCGATCGCCTGAAGGGAACTGCCAGTCTACCCGGTCGACCGCCTTCTCCGCGTCTGTGGATAAAAACACGCACGGTGGATCACCCCTGAAAGAGTAATTTGATAATATAATACAGGTCCTCTTTTCTATTCAATATCAAATGTCTTGAAAACTAAGATTCTGCAGTTTCTATGTCTTGTTGGTTATCTGTATTGTACTTTGCACTTCTTTTATGGTATAGCATATTGGAACTAGCTGATGGTGATAAGTTATCTATAACTAATGATTCCAAAGTCCTCTGTTCTCATGCCAGCAAGTAGAGTTATTAATGACTGATGTCATATGATGCCACAATTCTTGTTATTTAAGACACTGCTATGTGGTCATAGGGTACAAAGTTTAAATGCTGATTCAAACTCTTTGTAAAGTATATAATAAATGGGACATAATTTGAATCAGCCTGCTTGTGTTTGGTTCATTTCTGTGTTCCCCGAGGCCTCGAGAAGAAGGAATCAGAATCCCCCAGCCGTGTGCTCAAAATTTACTTTTAATTGGTGTCGAAGTGGGACCCGAATCGTCATCTTTCCCAGTGAGTTGAAATTTTGTACTTTTATACACTTTTTCCCTGACGGGGAAGCTCTGACTAAAATTCGGATCTAGAAATGATTATGTAGGAAAGGGTACAGGATTTGTAGGGAACAAATCATTGACATGTTGGGTACATGGTCTAAAAATACTAGTTAAAATCTGTGTTTAGTACACACTAAGACTTGTGTTTGGCACACAAGGAGTTAAACAAGAGACGGCTGGGTGGTTCTTTTTCTTTTTTATAGAGTTATAAGATTTTAGAAGTTTAAGATTTGTAAGATTTGTAAAGTTTGTAAGATTTGTATGTTGCTATTTTACATGCTGCTATATTTCTAGGTGAGATCTTGTTGTTACCGCATTTATAGTTGACCGGATTTTTTGGACGCTCTTGGAAACAAGGGTTTGTACAGCCGATCCTAACTGCGGGTAACACTAATAAAGATCTAGCCTATACATAGGGATTGTCTTTGGTTGAAATAAGGTACGGGGGATACCAGACATCCTCATAAAAGTGTAAAGTGTTTACGTAGGAAGTGTTGGAAATGGGGTCCCAAGAAAGCAAAATGTATCCTCCGGCTATTCACGGGGAATCCTGCAAAGATTATGTGGGAAGAGTGTCATGTACTAAATTTCATTTTGTAAATCCCTGGGTGGACAATATGGCAGGCTGGACTGAGGGCATGGGGAGCAGTAATCCTTTTCCCCGACATGGACCTAATGACACATTCCATCTAGACATGGTCAAAGGCTTATGTCTAGGAAATAAGGGCGCCTTCCCATATTTTAGTCCAGATCCTAGATGGGATAAAGACTACATATGGGCTGGAGGCATTAATTGGCTTAAGATTGCTCCTCATTGGCATGTAGTTAATGCACCTAATAATAGTAATAAAAATCGTTTTTTTGAAATTTATACATAGATGGGATAAATCCAAGAAAAATACACGGGATAATATAGATAAACGGGAGAATAATACAGATAAATCCCAAGTAAAAAGGAAACATGCTTCATCTCCTCAATATCCTTCCACTAATCCTTTTGCTAAACAGACCAAACCTCCAGGTTATACTTCTATATATCCTAGTCTACAAACCAATAGTCATGATGAAGTCTTAATGGCTAGTTATGTTTCCCCCCAGCCCGCTGTACCCTTTGCACCTCCACTCTCTGATATGGAGGACAAGGACTCAGAATCTCCATCTGACTCTGATGAATCAGATAAGGTGATTGAATTAAAAGAAACTGTTGAAGTTTTAATGGAGGCTGTACAAGACATGCGTGTAGAACTAGATAAAAGTAAAAAGAAAAAGAAAGGAAATAGGAACGCCCTGAGTCCATCATGGCAAAGGCCAACAGAACCAGAAAAAATGACGTTAAGACTGAGAGATGCATTAAAAAACAAAGGGGAACCCCTTATGAACGCCCCTTATTTAATTATGGGAAAGGAAATTGTAAGGAAACCCATGGATATGGAAGAAATTAATCAAATAATCAAAGGGGCCCCAAAACCACAAAGGAACCCCCTTGCTTGTTTGGCTTATTTAAAAAGGGCTTGTAAGGGACGACATTTTACACAAGAAGACATGAAACTAATTATGGATGGTATCATGGGATTTGATCAGGAATCTGGTTGGGATTGGGGGAAGGTCCCCACAATCTCCAATCTGCAACCTGCTGGAACCCCTGCAAATGCATACGAGTTAGCTACTGAAGACGGGAGAACTCAGATGTGGGTTGAGTTAGAGACAGAAATGGAGAGTTTTTAGCGAGCAGACTTCCCTTCCAGCGGCTATCTCATGTAAGCAGAAGCCGAAGGAAGAGATAGTGGAATTCTGGAAAAGGTTTCAGAAAGTATGGAAGGAAGAAGCAGGTTTGACTACAGAGGAAACATGGGTCCTCTCATGATTCAGATGTTTATCACGTGTTTGAAGAATTAATGTGGATTAATGGTGAAACAAATGATTTCTGGTTGGCCCAAGCTGGCTGTGAAAGCATTTGGGGAACAACTTATGGAGAAGGATGCAGCAGGATGTTTTGATATTAAAACTACTGGCTACTTCATGAGGGTCTGCAACATTGTGACTCTCGAGATGCTAGACCGAGGGATATGGCAGGAGAACATAGGCAGTTTGCTAAGGGAGGCAGAGGTAGAGGAAGAGGCCGGGGTGGATATAACCCACGACCTGAGCCAAGGCAGAGGTGCACCCATTGCTTTGAGTGTGGCCAGGAGGGTCACTGGAGGAACCAATGCCCATCACAGAAACCTCCCTTACAGCAGGGTTCAGTAGCCCAAGGACCTCCAGGTCCAGCCGCACCTCCCTTCAATGGGGATTAATGGGATAGACAAAAACTTTTAAAACACCCTTGCTACCTGTGTTTGACATACATACTGGAGAAATAATTACTGCCCACTCTTTTAGAATAATTCCAGGGTGCCCTGTTAATTTGCTTAGACGAGATCTTATGGGGATCCTGAAAATGGATATTTCCCTTTCACCAGAGGGAGGAATCCATGTGTTATCCCCACACTATTTTTCTAGTAATCTTACTCCAGGACTAGATGGTGATCACAAAGTATGGGCAAAACATTCTCTTGATGTGGGATATATTTCTTGCACCCCTTACAAAGCTAGGTTGAAGAGGGGTGTGTCACCAATCTATCATAAACAATACCCTTTATCGGTTGAGAAAAAGGAAGGTATAAGACCTATGATACAAAGTTTTCTGAAACAGGGTATTTTAGTGCCTGTAATCTCACCTTACAACTCTCCCATTAATTTGCAGAAGCATTGGAAAAAGATTTCTGTATTAAGAATTGTAAAAAGATGTGTAAAACTTATATAGGAACAACTTGTAGAGAAGGGTTTGCGTTCCTGCCTGGAGATCCGACTGATTATAATTGCCCTGATTAGATTTACATAATGACTTACTTCATCCGATCCGTGACCAAAATGGACTAATACAAAAAACAAAAAGGTTAACCCATTAGGAGGTAACGGGTTAGTAGCGGTCAACTTAGGGATCCGGACAAGTCAATTAATTGTAAAAAAGATAATTTTATTGAAAAAACATATACGATTGCACATTTGACTCACTAATTACCATTAAAAACATTATGGATAACATGCAGTCACAAATTATATGTGGATCGATCCTCATTAACATTAACCTTGGGTCAAACGTGCAGTCATCACACCACAAGTGGATGAATGACCCTGAAACCTAACAGTGAAAGATTTGACAATCTTGGTAAAATCCCAAACTGGGGCTGGTGGTTCTCACTGACGGGCAGACTATATCCTGAGCATTCAGGCAATCACCAAAGATCCACGGAGTAAGAACACCACTCGAACTCACCATTGGAGATTGGATTACAACAAACACCTCCTGGAGGAAATAGCGAGACGTATCCATACCCAAGTGGACTATCGAACCACACTGGAAAAATCCCCAAACTGCCCGGACTTTTGAGAAAGCTACAGTAACGTGAGTGATAAAAAAAAGCTATATATATTCGTTTAAGAGCGTCATTTAAATATCACTCTGAGGTAGAGATTCATAACATCTACACTCAATACTAAACATAAAAATAAAGAGAAGAAAAAGTCAGGCGGTTGGTTAATTGAAGATAATCCAGTGATAGTCTGCCCGTAGGAAAGCTCCCCTCCCCTACAAATTAAAGGATTTACTACACCTCACCGCTCTAATCAGAGTAATTCACTGCGGATACATTGGAAGGAGTTAATTGCACATACGGCTAGACCAAAGCCAGTGACATTAACACCAAACAACAGGAGAACTTATCTTCAAATAATAAACAGAAAACAGAAGACAAAACAATTTGGAAGTAAAGTGAAAATAAGCCTTTCCGAAATAAGAAGATATCTACACAGGAAAATACAAATTAACAGGCAACACCTTTAATATATCTGACATAATTTACGGAAAGCAGAGAAAGTCAATGTTACAATCACTGATCTGTCTAGAATTTTTCACTATAGCTAAGTAGGGAAACTAGAAGAAAATCTCTTTCTTTTTTCCCCTCTTTTTCTCCTATGTTCGAGACCATTCCTCCGGTTTTTGTAGTTTACGCAGGTTGACATGCATGTGGGAATTTAATGGAGGAGAAGAGACCGAAGCATTAGCTACATCGGTCACTTCCCCCCACGGTGGGGACCCAAGGTTAATGTTAATGAGGATCGATCCACATATAATTTGTGACTGCATGTTATCCATAATGTTTTTAATGGTAATTGGTGAGTCAAATGTGCAATCGTATATGTTTTTTCAATGAAATTATCTTTTTTACAATTAATTGACTTGTCCGGATCCCTAAGTTGACCGCTACTAACCCGTTACCTCCTAATGGGTTAACCTTTTCGTTTTTTGTATTATATAGGAACAACCCAACTCTCACACAGAAAATTCAGCATGATCATTTGAAATATCCAACCGCACCATTTACACATTTACAGATTGACTTTACTCACATGCCCAAAACAGGGAAACGCCAAGAGTACCTTCTGGTTATTGTGGATATGTTTTCCAAATGGCCAGAAGCCTTTGTTTGCACACATGAAGATGCAAGAACAGTTGTGAAGATCCTGGTACAGGACATCATTCCCAGATGGGGCTGTCCGTTGGAAATAAATTCCGATAAAGGCAGCGCCTTCACATCAAAAGTTTGTCAGGAACTTGTTAAACACTTACAGATAGAGTGGAAATTCCATATACCCTACCATCCTGAGAGCTCGGGTATTGTGGAACGAATGAATAGAACCCTTAAGGATAAAATAAGGAAAGCTACAGGTGGTACTTTTTCCAAATGGAAAAATGTGTTACCTGCGGTACTGGCCGAAATCAGAATGACACCTTCTAAAACCACTCGTCTTTCACTATTTGAGATACTCATGGGGAGACCATTTCCAACACAAAAGGCCCACTAGTTATTTTACAAGGAGATATGGAACAAATACAAGAAGAATATTGTAGAAATTTGATTAAGACACTGAATGGCATCTATGGTGATGTATCTGTTTCTCTCCCGCTTCCCTCACAGGAACCTACTCATCCTTTCCAGCCAGGTGATGTTGTCGTGGTGAAGCAACTTAATCGAAAAAGAGGGCACGGATTTCCTTTTGGTCCTCCCACAACAGTAGTAGCTGTAACAAGAACCGCCATTCTAACAGACCAAGCTGACACCTGGATCCGTGTAAAGAGGGTACCAAAGAGGGGAGAAACCGGTGATAACCATCCCGAAGTAGACGAAAAAAAGGAGTGAAACGGGTCCAAGTCTCCGAAGCAGATGAATCCGAAGCAGACGAACAACAAAATAATGATACTCCATCCAAATTATGGGTGGAAGATCCTGACATTGATAGGATTGGCTTGTCTCATAGTTTTCTTTCCCACATGGTTAATTAGCAAATGCTATTATCACCCACATGAATTATCATTTTGTCCAAACAATATGCCTAATAAAACAACACACCTTAGACAGACAAGGGATTTAACAGCATTAGAAACCACCTCACTCACTGATAAAATGCTGTTATTACAATTTAAGTATGGGTATGCTCAAAAATCAGGATATGATAAATGTTGGGTATGTAGTAAACTGCACCCTGGGACAATGCGAATCCCCTTGGTCGCAGTACCAGTAAATATTACTTCTTTTTTTAAATGGGATTCCAATTGTAAATATGCAGGCGGTATCTGAAACAATAAATAAGTCAGTTTCTTTTCCTATTGTAGCTTTAGCATATTCACCCGACTGGTGTTTCAGAGTGGGAGATAGTGCTAAAGATCATAATTTAGATATGTGTCATCGATCTAGTTGGAACATGTCTGGCTTAGACCCTACAACTCTGGGATATGTATGGAATATAACTAACGAAGTCAATGAAACTCTTTTTAAAAGACAACAAAACCAACCACCTGGGGATGCCTTTAAACTTTTGGGACTGTTAGGAACCTTGGGATGGCGAGATGATGACGCCACTCACAAGGGACATGCCCCATATACCTTGAGCAATAGTTTGGTTATTTGTTGTGGAAAAGTATGTTATCCCTGGATCCCTAGGACAGAAAAGGGATGGGGTTATATGGCCTCCCTTGTCCCTGTTTTAGATATCATAGGAAGTGGGGGACCAAAACACGTGTTACAAGCAAGTAAACATCCCAAATACCCCTTAAAACATGTAAGCAAAAGGGAGTTATTCAGCCAGAAGGATCAGGCTTGGTCCTGGTTCCCTTCATGGACAGGATGGGGAATTGAATTAATGCAAAGATTAAATACTCTATTATTATGGATGAAATTTTAAATAAAACATCAGATGACATTACACTGCTAAATAGGGAACAAAGGGCTTTGAGGAAACAATTAATGTTACATGAGTTAGCAATTGAATCAATGGGTGCAGCACTTACTGGACTGTGTGAAGTGACAGAGGATTATGAATGTTGCACTTGGATCCATAATACTAGCTCAGAAGTGCCTGATTATTATGACATAATTGATAACCATAGAAAGGAGGTAGCAGGACTTCAGGAAGAAGCTAGGAAAATTGCTGATGATGGATGGAATCCTTTTAAGGGAATGGGAAGTTTTGGCAATGTTTTTGGGTCTGTGTTTTCATGGTTTAAAGAAGTAGGAATGCTAATTCTGATGATACTGTTATGTTTATTGTTTATCTATATACTTATAAAGTTATGCTTATGTCTATGTGAAAGAGCAACTAGAAGATCAAACGAGGATATTTATTAGTATATATTTAAAAGAGCGGGTTGAAAGAGTCATTTGATAATATAATACAGGTCCTCTTTTCTATTCAATATCAAATGTCTTGAAAACTAAGATTCTGCAGTTTCTATGTCTTGTTGGTTATCTGTATTGTACTTTGCACTTCTTTTATGGTATAGCATATTGGAACTAGCTGATGGTGATAAGTTATCTATAACTAATGATTCCAAAGTCCTCTGTTCTCATGCCAGCAAGTAGAGTTATTAATGACTGATGTCATATGATGCCACAATTCTTGTTATTTAAGACACTGCTATGTGGTCATAGGGTACAAAGTTTAAATGCTGATTCAAACTCTTTGTAAAGTATATAAGGGCTTGGCCCGCTATCAATAAATGGGACATAATTTGAATCAGCCTGCTTGTGTTTGGTTCATTTCTGTGTTCCCCGAGGCCTCGAGAAGAAGGAATCAGAATCCCCCAGCCGTGTGCTCAAAATTTACTTTCAACCCCCAGCGCTCGCATGGTGTTATCCCTCGCTTCCCTGGTAGGTATAAAGCCCGCTTGGTCTAGGTGTATAAGCTCTCCTATATGGGGAACCAGACAGAGGTATAGGATTTTAGCAAAGAGTTTGATATCAGTATTGAGTAGGGATATCGGCCTATAGCTAGGACAAAGGGCAGGGTCTCTACCTTTGGGGATGACCGTAATGTGTGCCATGAGAGATTCCGGGGGGGTGTACTGCCCATTTGTAGTGCGTTAAGTGCTCCCAAAAAAGGCGCGGAGAGAATCGGGAGGAAGCGTTTGTAATACAGTAAGGAGAAGCCGTCCGGGCCCGTGGCTTTACTAGTTTGTGTAAGTTTAATGGCTTGTTCTAATTCTAGTACAGATATTGGGGCTTCCAGTAATGAGCTGGTTGCTGGTAGGAGGGAGGGAATTTCCGATTGCTGGATATATTGCTTCATGCGGGTCAAACGCGAGGGGTCTCCACATGGGGAGGTGGGGTGCGTAAGATTATACAGACTTCCGTAGTAATCCGCAAAAGTTTCTGCTATCTCCAAAGGGAGTGAGCGTTTAAAACCTGCGGGAGAAGTGATAAAGGGGACAAATGTCCGGGCCTGCTATTTGCGAACCGCTCTCGCAAGATATTTCCCACACTGGTTGCCGTACTCATAAAAAGGTACGGCGACATTTGAGCAGAGATGCTTTCGCTTTAAAAGTCCACGAGGAGCGAAGTTGTTCCCTCACTGAGCAAAGCTGTGCGCTAATGATCGCGTCCGCTGTAAGTTTGTGACGAGTTTCCAGAGAGTGGATCCTCGTTAAAAGGGAGGCAATATCTTTTAAGTGCTGTTTCTGAAGCTGGGAGCCCCGCGCAATCAGCAGGCCCCTGACAGTCGCCTTGTGCGCCTCCCATACCATGTATGTGGAGATATCTGGCGTGGAGTTCTCAGAAAAGAACAGGGAGAGGCTCTGCTCCAAGGAGTCAGCAAATTCAGGCTCCTGGAGCAGGGTATCATTCAACCTCCACTGCCAGGGACCGGGCGCTAGATCGTCCAGAGCTAAGGTCAGTAGGATGGGTGCATGATCTGATATTGCTCAGGGTGATATTGCCCACCTCTGCGTCGCGGATCCTGGCCAATTGGCTATGGTGCATGAAAAAAAAATCTAGGCGGGTATAACTTTGATGCAAGGGCGAGAAGAATGTGTAGTCACGGGTTGAGGGATGTTGTAGGCGCCACACATCTATCCATTGGTGAGAAAAGAGGAAATTCTTGAGACGTTTAAGAGCTGCTAAAGAGAGGTGGGTGGAGGTACGTGAGGAGTCTAGATTAGGGTCCAGGACGAGATTAAAATCTCCTCCCAGCATCACTATCCCCTCCCGGAACTCCGACAGGTGGTTCAGTACGCACTCAATTAATGGAATCTGATGATGGTTAGGGGCATAAATATTGGCCAGTGTTATTATTTGAGAGCCAACAGTACCCTTAATAAAAAGGACCCGACCTTCCTCTCCAGAAAACTGGTCCAGTAACAACCATGGTACAGTGCGAGAGAGTAAAATACTTACTCCTCTGAATCTCTTGTCTGGTGAACCACTATGGTATATGACCGGGTACCTGCCCGTCTCAACGCGGGGGACATGGTCGATCTTAAAGTGGGTCTCCTGGAGGAGGGCAACATCGACCCCCTGACTGTTTAAATCACCCCATATCATTCTCCGTTTTTCAAGAGCGGCCAACCCTTTGACATTCAAAGAAATAATTTTAAGATGTCCCACCTTGCGGCCCGGGCAGGAAGGTATGAACTGGAAAAAAAAGGGGAAGATGGGGAGGAGAAGGAAAAGAAATAAAGTGAAGGAATGGGGCACAAGGGAGGACAGGGTAGGTATGATGTGACAAATGCAATGGGGTAGTGTCAACTATTGCATAACACAGTGCAGGTAAGATTAACCCCTTAGTGACTGACGGCGTACAGTGTACGTCGCCAGCATCGGAGCTGCTTAAACAAAAAGCCGACTGTCGGCTTTACAACAGAAGCGATTCTGGCGACTTACCTGTCGCCAGATCGCTTCTGTGTCCCGTAGAAGGGCCCCCCCCCTTCTCGTATTTTGTAATCTTATTCATATATACTTCTTTAGTTTTTTTTAGTGGTGAAAATTATTAGTGACCCCCATTTTGACTGTGGTATCTTATGTGCCCTCCCTATAATATTGTTCCTAGAGTCGCCACTGCCCAGTAGCCATGTGCAATGCCTGGCACGTGAAGTTGCGGCCCATACCAAGCCCTCCCTACGAGAGATCAGCAGCCAGGGCAAGAGGGGGATAGGGGGGGGTATAGGGACAAGTAGGGTTATTGGCAGCAATAGGTGAGAACCAGGCTAGGTATATACAAAAAAAACAAAACACAAAGAAAAACCAGGCTGAGGGTCAAACATCAATCTACCAATCCATGTTCCCTGTGTGTCACGGCCAAATCATTGCCCATGTGTCTCCCGATCGCCTCACACCCAAGTATGGGGGGGGATCGGGCGGCCCCAGGCCCATCCAGGAGAAACGGAATAGATAATAATAAACATCGTGTCCCACACAGTTTATAGTGCTATACGTCACCCATCGAAGCTGTTATCCACAGGATAGCATCACCGGGGTCAGCTCGGTGGGTCTGGGTAAGAGGGTGGGGGTGATAGTCATGCAGTGACTAAGAACATGGTGCAATGGGGTGTGTCATCAAATGTTGTGGTTATCTCGGTAGATTATAGCCGGGAGCGGGGTTTCCGAGCGAGTTTTTCACTTCTCGGGGGACTTTCGGTCACTCGCAGGGTCATGGAGGTCTCGGTACAGGGTTAGGGAAGCTGGCGGTCCAGATCGTGTGCCGTTGTTGAAAGGTGCTCGCCGATGGATGCGCTGGGGTATGGTACGCTGAGCGTCTAGAAGGTCAGGGTGAAGCCAGTCCTGGATCTCCACTGGGGCAGTCTCCAAGAACGAGAAGAGAGACGTCAGTTGATCCGGGTGTCGTAGGGTAAATATCTCTCCATTTCTACGTACATTAAGGCAGAATGGGTAGCCCCATGTATAGATCGCTCCCGCTTGTCTGATTACAGTGAGAAGCGGCTGCAATGTCCGGCGCATCTGCAAGGTACGTCTGGATAAGTCTGGTAGTAGGGTGACCTCTGAGTCCTCACAGTTGATTGAGCCTTTCCGCCAGGCCTGGAGGAGGACGGCCTCCTTCACAGTGGAGTAATGAATGTGGCAGAGGACGTCTCTGGGTCGGACATCTCCATCAGGTTGCGGGCCTCCGACCCGGTGTACACGGTCCAGCTCTAGTGGGGCTGTTGGGGACTTATCTAATAGCTCGTTAAGGATTCGGGAGACCGTGGCGCGAAGT